CTTTATTATAATAGAGAACAATTTCAAATATATATTTCGTCTGTACAGCCGACCGCCTAACCTAAGCAACCGATTGAATCGTTTGAAAGTCGATCGTTTGAAAGACGATTGGACGAATTCGCGTCTAAAGATGATGGTCTTTAGACGATTTTTCCCCATGGGAAATATGTTTTGTAATAATGATTGAATAAATAAATGAAATAAATGAAAATTAAAGGACGTTGGGGAAAATAAATTACAATGACTTAGCCTGTTTTTTCCCAAATCCGAATCGTCGTACGTCTAATCATTGTATTTAGAAATCCGAAACGTCGTACGTCTAATCATTATATTTAGAAAAGATCCTGCATAAATTATATTTTTTCCAGCTCCAAAAGTTTTGATGTTGGCTTTGTTGTTTGCCTCGTCCAATAATATTGATATTCATATGTTTAGTGAATAAATATTAATTGACAAACAAAACATACAAATTTATATATTACTTATAATTTTGTGTTAGGTAGGTATAGTTGATTTTATATAAAAACGTTTATAGCTAATTACTAAATATAAATTAACCTAGATAGATATATACTAATTTTCCCCATACGAACGTACCTTGGTAAATACCCAATTGACTGTTTATATTATAATTATGTTAAAAACAAATGTGAGAAACAAGTTTTAAAATAAGAATAATTATGATGTTTACTACCTTTCACTTGTTCTTGAAAAGCCAAATGAGATAATGTTAATATAATTTAAGATGGAAAAACCTGACAATAATTGTGTTTTAAATAAACAATTATTTATTAGTCATAATTTTGTATTTCGCATTATTGCTTAACATTTCGTAATATGTCAGCCCTAATAATAAAAAACCATACAAAAATATGCTAATTTCTCACACGTATTTGAGATCAACGCGAGCCATCGCAAAGTTAAGTTATGGCCCCAATTGGGGGCTCGATAAAACCAAAATGGTAACTTTACATAATATGTTTATATTCATGTAGTACATGGCCTTGAGACTAATCAGGGCCGGCAAGTGGCGCCGCCAGTTTGCATTTCTGAAAATTGCGGAATATTTTGTAATATTTTAGCAATTGATGAATGTTACTACTGCAGGTATACCTGCAGTAGTAACATCCATTAGTGTATGGAAAACTTTGGTAATATTTTATTGTATCGCGATTTCTTGTTTTGTTGTCATTTATTTCTTGAAATTCGCTATCTTAGGCTGTGTTCAATTTTCGCCCTATGAGTTCTTCCGGAGATCTCCCCTTTATTAATATGGAGTTATATGTTGGACCAGCAAGCTTGCCAATTTTACTTTAACATTTCTGCTACTCACTTTTTTAATAGCGGCCTTGACGTATTAAACCATTCTCTTGCCTGGTTGTTACGGATTGGATGATATAATGCTACAAATGCCTTGTATTATTTTAATAAACTCCAGGATTTCAGCAAAGGTAAACGCGGAGTACTCGAATTGCTGCAGCTGTCGAAGTTGTAGCCTCTTTACCACTATTATTATTAGTTTTGTAAATATTTCCTTTTATTGGTCCTGTGAAATCCAAATGAATTCTTGTCCATGGTGCTCTGGACCATTACCACATGCCCTTGCCCTTGACTTTTGACACTCTTGGCATGCGTTTACCTTTCTTTTGATCTCTTTACACATGTTTGGCCTCCTTACATAAGATCTTGCTAGACCTTTTATTTTCACAATTCCAGGATCCCCGTATGTAGGATATCCAATATCCGTTTCCTTTCTCATGGAGTAATAATTACCCTGCTTTCCCAGGGGAGAGAGTCCTGGTAACAGGATATCTCGTGTTGTCTTCGGAAATATGGTGTATACCATAGTTCGTAGTCATAGGCACTCAGGAATTATTTATCGTTACATTCTAGGTGAAAGTACTGGTGTACTTTGCCAGGCTAAAATTCCAAAGAAAGGTATATGATCAGTTATTATGCAAATATGCCTACCGTAGATGTGGTCATGAAATTTTTTTATGCCAACTACAATAGCTAACGCTTTTTTCTTATTTAGACAAGGTCAGGGTGTGATATGCTATTTGTATTTTCATTTGTGCGTTGACTAAGTACGCATCAAACTCCGTATGGACTCGTATAACAAGTCAATGTCGGAGGTTTTCGTTCATCGTAATGTCCTAGGATTGGTTTACTAGCAAGTATTGCTTTTAACATATCGAATAAAGTTTGTTTGTTTGAGATTCTGCAGTTTATGCATTGGTTCGGCGATTTAAGCTTTGTTTTTTAGGTAAACATGATTAAAGTTAATTAAACCCAAAAATGCTTGAAGCTATATTATTGGGGGGTACTCCTGGCATAAGGTATCGCCTTGATCTTGTTAACTGTATACTTGATTCCTTTACCGATTATCTTAAAACCCAAGAATATTATTTTTTCCGTTTTAAAAACGCTTTTATTCTTTCAAAGATGTAAGACATATTTGCGGAATCTTGATAAAACATACTGTCTGTCCACTCTAAGTTGGCGGAACTAAGGAATTTTGTAGTTTAGATATTAAAGAATTGTCGTACTGTGTGCTTTTAAAACAGATTTTATATTATAAATAATACTAGTACATATTATACACTAGTATTATTTATAATATAAAATCTGTTTTAAAAGCACACAGTACGACAATTCTTTAATATCTAAACAACAAAATTCCTTAGTTCAGCCAACTTAGAGTGGACAGACAGTACTTACGTTATTCTTTAAGTACCCACGACCAGGATATTGTGATAATAGTTGCCCTTTTATTTCTGTTAGACGCATGTTTAAATTCAATTTTTTTACATCTAAATGCGCCTTTGTGAGACTAACGTCTGCCCATCAGCTGCTTCGTCAAACACTTAATTGCAAATTGCAAAACTTAGCGAAAGTCTTACGAACATGCTATAAATGGCTAGAAATGGGTTGGTGTCTGCACAAAAAACCGTGTTTATTGTAGCGCGGTAGTCACCACATTTAAAGTGTTCATTCTAAGTGCTCAAACACTTCTCAAATATCATTCATGAGTTTCACGTAAGCGACATTTGTCCTTACTCACTTGGCTATCAAGTGTGTTTAATTTTTCTTAAAAATTTTGGTAGCAAGTAGCGCTACTATGCGGCTGTCATGTGGCAAATAAACGATCTGCGTAAAATGACTGCTAGGCCTGCAAATAAAAATTGTTATTAATACGGATCTACATTATATTCCTGAATTTGTTGCATAAAAATAATATTACATATTTCCTACAACCTTTCCTAAAAATGGTCACACTCGACTAAAGAAAATAAACAACTAAAGCCAGAACAGAAAAATCTTGTACAAAAACGTTTTTATGAAGAGTTAACTCCAATGATGGCAATACGGCAAAAAGCTTTTTTTACAACTCAAGCTGTTGTGGTAAAATAACGGGAGTGAATATAGGATTAATTAAACCAATTTTCATTATTCTTCAAGCACTTTTATCAGGTAAAATTATAGATGAACAAAAAATTTAAAATTATGCCGTTGAGTGAAGAAGTATTCCTTAGTCAATGATTATGCTATGAAAACTGCAGAAATCTATGTAAGTAAATATGATTGGAACTCTCTGCCATATTCAGTACATCAAATTTTGATTCACGGACTATTATGAAGCATTTTGCAGTTCTTCCTATTGGACAACTTTCAGAAGATGCGCAAAGATTTTGTAATAAAGATTACAAAATTGTTCGCCTTTATATATATAGTGTCCCAGAAGTCGGGCACCACCTTAAGGGTGTATGATCTACAGATCCCCAGGAATCTCATAAAATTGTTAAAAAAAGCTGCCCTCGTTATTTAAAAAAAAACAGGAGATACAAATTTTTTTAAAAGGATATTTATTTTATGTCAGACTTAAGAGAAGCAAATACAGTCCCTATTAGGAACTAATAAAACTATAAATTAAATCTATAAAGAAAAACTAAACAACTATTAACATTACATTGACATACAAGCTAAATGACTTGCATTTTTTAGGCATTCTGCTAACACAACATACATAAATGCTATTACCGAATCAATTTTTAATTTTAACTGTCAATCGTTGTCTGTCAAAAGATTACAATCAATTAACCAATTAATGCATTTTTTTATATGATGCAACATTAATTCCTAATGAAACCATTATTTAAACATTCTGTACATCAGACCTAATTTATATAATACATGTTGTGCTAAGTCCAAGTTAACAATCTGTTTAAATAAACTCTGGCGTTTCGTAGAATAAAACGCAATCTATGTTTGAATCCCACGAAAACGTTGTAAATGTATACATTTTTCTTTGCTAAAAATTACTTTCGAACAACTGTAATTATTAAAAACAAAAACCGTTTTTTACTGGGTAGGCATTGCTACTATAATAACTATAATAACTAATTATGTCAAATGTCTTTTAAATCAAAATGAATATATCACAGCGGTTCCCCACAATACAACTTAAAAGAATATAATTAAGTTAAACCTATTATTTTTGAGTTTAAAAGCTTAATTTTTACGCTCTTGTATCTTTTTAAATAATAAAGGTATAATTTTTTTTCTTCTGGGACTCCTGGGGGTCTGTAAATCTTTAAGGTGGTGCGCGACTTCTGGAACACCCTGTTTATATACATATATATATTATATACCAAAAAGCAACGTTGGGCAGGTGAAAACAAAATATACTTTTAGCTACACTTAGTAGTGCCGTAAATTATGCGTGACCCTTAATAAATATCGTTAATATTCAAAGCACAAAGTTAATTAACGGTTACACATTCTTTAAAATTATATGGAAGGCAATTTTGATTTTTAAATTTATATATAATTTTAGTTATTTACTTTAAATAATTACAAACAAAATATAATTTAAAGCAACAAAATACCAGTTTATTTAATGTTAGTAAAAACTTAATTTTAAAAAGATTTTTATTTAAAAAATAAGATGCTATTGTGACAAAACTTCTTTCTATTTACAATTGAACAGAGGTAATGCTTTGTATTTAAGTTTATTACATAATTAAGTCCACTGGTGTTGATACTAAAATGGTTTTGTTAATTGGAATTGTATTTGCAAAATTGTGGAATTTATGTAAGTTTTTTAATTAAAAAATTAATACTTGCATGTTAACATGTAAATTAAAATAACGTAATAGATTGAATGTATTTTAAAATTATTTCTAATTATGGGATGTTTAGAACAAAGAAGCACATAAGAAATATAATGTAAAAATTTAATAATTTGAACGATAGAGATAAAAGATAAATTCAAACAAATATAATAATTTCATCGGACACCTTATATATGATCATCAAATACGTGCATATAATCTCTATCCTTAAGACGAAAACGATGCGGATGGATTGTTTTCGTTAAAATTTTCTTTTCTTTTGTCTGAAAGTTTAAACTTTATTATTATTCAAAATATAATCGAAATTATAAAAACATTATAAATCAAAAATTGTATTTAAAGCTCCATATAAAGGGGTTTTCTTAAATATATTTAGGGATTTGGCTTCCTTTTGTAAATTTTGAGTTTTTTTGAGGTCGATTAAGTATAGTTTAATCTTCTAAATTTTAAATTGAGCTTCAGTTTTAAATTTATGGTATAATGATCAGATTTATATGATTTCCTCTTTGTTTAAAAATTTGATCACACCAAAGTTGGATTATTGACAAATAAAAAATTGTTTATTTATTTATTTTTAATGGACTAATTGTGGAAATAAATAGTATAAATTAATTTGTTAGTGCTTCGATGAATGGGTTACAATAGTTTTTAAAGTATTTGTTGACGGCTGTAAAAATGTGTACACTATTAATTGTTGGACATGGTTAATTTAGATATTGGTGTTTTTCGCCAAGTATTACTGTCTAGTGGTGTTGATACTAAAATGGTTTTTTTAATTGAAATTTTAATCGCAAAATTGTGGGATTTATGTATTATGATAACATATTTATATAAAAAGTTTATTTAAAAAGTAATACTTGTATGTTATCATATAAATTAAAATAAATAAGTCGATTTATAGGAGTTTAAAAACAATCTTTATTAGTTTTAGGATGTTTACAACTAAGACGCAAGATACAGAATAAATATAATAAAGTAAAAATGTAACAATCATAAACGTTAGATACCTTGTACATGATTAAATATGTGCATATAACTTGTTATCTTTGTAATTTAAAATTAATATATTATTATATATCTTATACAGAGAAACAAAATTATATGTAATTTAAGAATTAAATAGCTACTGATCTTAAATTAGTTTGAATTGATTTAATATTTTAAAGATTTATTATTTTTCTTTTTATGTCTTTATTTGGCTATTTATATTTGTTACAATTCTATTGTATCATAAAATTTTACAATATACTATGGTTTATTGTTGGCATTTTAGAAATATTTAGAAAAATAGCATTATTTTTGAAATACAGGGTGAGCTTTTTTTAACATCGTGTTTTTTTATAAAAAAAACAAGTTTAATTAAATTTTGAAGCCGGTCCTGGGTAGTGTTGCCTAAAAACATAATCATAAAAACAAAAATAACAAATTTAACAATGCAAAATATCATTGTTGGCAAAAACATAAACATTGCATTGTTATATTTGTCATTTTTGTTTTTATGAATGTGTTTATTTATGGAATTTTATTAAAGCAAATACATCGATGACGTTTTCAAAAGGTAAATCAAGGAAAATGTCAATTTTAGTGCTCAGAATCACGAGGATCTTATACCATACTCGTAGGTAAAATATTTTTAATTAATTTCCTTTTAAAGAACGATCTTTTTTTACTGTAGTTGTACACCATGGATAAGTATATGAGAATGGTACATTTTGTAACAAGTTTGGAATACAGCATATTCCGCTCGAGGAAAAATTTGACACACGAGCCGAAGGCGAGTGTGACGGTTTTACGAGAGTGGAATATGCTATTCCAAACGTGTTTCAGACATTATTTTTTCTACGACTACGTAAGAATAGTAACGCTTATATAATTTTAAACAGAGAAAAGAAACCAAGCAGTTTTTGACATTTAAGTTTTTTGTATTGTCAAACCATTTTGTGCTGTCACAATTTTATAATGTAAATTATAATAAATTTAAACAAATGGTATGCCTAAATCTTTATTATAAATAAAAATAGTTATTTACACTAACTAATAAAAAAAATAACATTGTAACAAATAAAAACTAATTTTACAAGTAATCTATGTCAACATCTATTATTTTTCTACAGGTCTTTTTTTAAACTTTTTAAATCTGTCAAAACTTCAAAGCCGGTATAGTAGGTAACTGGTTTATCATTTTAATATCAAATTTATTATAATTTTGATTTGTATATTTGAAAAACAATAAATATAACTAATTTTTTGTGCCTAAACCTTAATTATACAAGTGCTATTATGTTTTAATTAATAAATAATACAGTAATATTTAAATATTTTTAAATTTTTTACGTTTAGTAAACAGCCAGGAGATGTCGTTACTTGTGACCTTTCTTAAACAAGAGTAGGAATATTCTCGCACAGTATTGCAGAAAAACATCCTTTCTATGATCAAAAATTACACTAGAATGTTACTATTCTTAAGTAGTCGTAGAGAATAACTATTTCTGTGTTTACAAAAGTAAAGCGCAAATTGTTTTCAATTATTATGCGATAAAGACATTTCCCCAAAGATTCGCTGATTCGCTATTCATAGAGCATTGCCAATTTATTAAAAATCGATTTTACATATTCTGGGTAACAATCAACGAGATTTTTTGTTTAGTTAAATTCACGCCACTGGTACGAGCTGATTTTTTTTACTTTTACTGCGATCCATTGGTGCCTTAAATCAATTTCTTAATTTAATTAATATTATCTTTTCATCCAATTTGGTTTGGTTTACTTAAGTTTATTTAACATCAAATATAATTTTTGATTAAAAAAAAAACACAAATACGCCTGAAGTGGTATGGTTCTTATTTATAATTGGTTCCGCTCCCAAGAAGACTAGTCTAATGTCTTTTGGCGCACTATGAAAACTATTATGTGTTCGAGCGTGGATTTTACAGCAAAGCAAGTGAGTTTGCGTCCAAACCCCCATTTAACATATTTTCATGTAAAAACATCAATATTTTTTTATCTTACCAACTTAAAACCCCGTATCTATAATATTAAGTATTAAAAATAAAACTACATTTAAATTGATAAATATAATAAAAATTTGCGCTTTATTCCTTAATATTGTAGATACGGTCTTTTAGTTTATCAGGTCAATACAAAAAATATTTATTTTAATATAAAATTTATTACAGCAATATCAATCTCAATGGAAAATACTCAACTGGGTTTAAATTCAATACATCAACCTTTGACAAACAACTATATCAAAAAAGAATGTATTTATAGGCCACCGGAAACTCCAAAAAAATTTTGTCCTGATCCAAACGTCCGCTATATTCTTTATAATAATGGCAAACGGCAGGAAATAGATTACATGCAGTCTGATTGGTTACGACAAAGTATCTGGGATCCTAACAAAGAAGATATTATGATTATTCATGGGTACGCAGGGGGGGATAATACATTACCAATAGTGGTTTTAAGAGATGGTAATAATTTAAATATTTTTTCTTTTTACAAAATTTGTATGATTGTATTTCTATAACCGAGGATTATTGGTAATCCATGAAACCTAATAAACAAGCCTGATAAAAAAGAACTCCTGGCACATGTAGGTACGACTTCTTAAATAACCCCTGTGGACGCCAGTAATTAATAAATGATTATTCATCTGATGTTTATTCCAATTTATTTTAGTTGTATATATTTTTTTGATTTTATAAATTTATACTGTCATTATTTTTGTTTTGAAACTCGTCTAAGAAGTCGTTCATATAAGCGCCATAATCAGAAATAACCGTAGCTACTAATTTTGTCGTGTGTGTTGGATTTATGTACCATTGTGCGACTTTTTATTTGATTTAGTAAAAATTTATCAAATCATATAAAAGGGCCTAAATACTTTTTGATATATATATATATATATATATATATATAGGGAAATATCTCGGATTCAGATAGAACATGAAAAAATAAGATGACACGTTCCTATACATTTTTTTCCTACTGGCCCTCCTTACGGAGACATGAGCCCCGAAAGGACTCCCCTGCAAATTAGTTTTCCTTGAATAACTTTTAAAGTACTGAATATAATTTAATAAAAATTTCATATGATGGACCCTGGTAAGAATGTCTTAAAATAGTGTCATTGGAACATGTTTTGCTTTTTTTGTTTACCAGGGGCGGACTAAGTTTTACTTCTTAATGCTTAAATTTTGAACACCCTGTATGACAAAGACTTTAAAAAACGAAATCTGCATACCTTAAACCTTAAACTAAAATAAAGGTACTTTTGTTTATTGTCAATAAAATGAACCGTTTTCGAGAAAAAGAATAATAAACGAATTCATGTTTTATTTTTAATAAAAAGGACCATACAAAAATAATATAACGTATTGTTCCAAACCTTAAATTAAAGGACTATAATTCGAAACAATTAATTAAAAACTTTATAAGAGGGTTCAACATGGGCTTCGTGAACTCTGATACATTCGCGGGCACGACGTATATTTGAAATTTTCGTCAGAGATGGGGAGAAGACACACTTTAACTATAATTCGTTTTAAAATGTTACCATTCGAAATGCGCACACTAACAACACGGGTGATACCATCATTGCCTGGATGTAGAGTGACGATCCTTGCGGTGGTCCATTTGGATGGTGGATTGTTTCATCTTTCAATAAAACTAGAGATCCTTGAAGATTTTCCTTATCGGTTTTAAATCGCCACTTTGAACGTTCGTGTAGGGTATGTAAGTACTGCGTAGACCATCTACGCCAAAAATGTTGAGTCCTGAGTTGCAACATTTGATATCTTGTAATTCGGTTCATCGGTATTTCTTGAAAATCAAGGTCGGGTACGAGGTTAAGAGGATGGCCGAGGAGAAAGTGTCCGGGAGTGAGGGTTTCGAGGTCATGTGGATCGTTAGTTATTGGTAAGAGGGGTCGCGAATTTAATATCGCCTCCACCTGAACCACAAAGGTATAAAATTCCTCGTATGTGAGGGGGTTTTTATCATACACTATACGGCGCAAGTGATGTTTAAAAGATTTTACGCCACTTTCCCATAATCCCCTAAAATGCGGAGAGTTAGCGGGAATAAGGTGAAACTGGATCATATTATTTTTGGCATAAATTCAGGGGATTTACAGAGGTTATGAATTTCTCGCAGCTCGCTACTTGCACCAACGAAATTGGTTCCATTATCGGAATACAAGTGCTGACATAAACCGCGGCGGGAAAAAAATCTTTTAAGCATGGCGAGGAAACATTGCGAGGTGAGGTCTAAAACAAGCTCCAAATGCACCGCCTTGGTGGCCAAACACACAAATATGCATAGGTAGGCCTTTATAAATTTTCGGTTACGAAATTTTGAATCTTTTATAATGAAAATTCCAGCATAATCTATACCGGTGTGAAGAAATGGTCTGGATGGGTTTACCCTTGGTTCAGGTAAGTCTCCAATAAGTGTATTTAAAGTTTTAGGCCTTTGTTTATAACAAATTATGCATTTATGAATGACAAGTTTTACTGAAGATTTTCCCTGTATTGGCCAGAACCTTTGCCTAATAAAAGAGAGGGTGGATTGTGTTCCCGGATGGAAGTTTAATTGGTGTATGTGTGTTATGATCAAACGAGTTTTGTTTTTAGGTTTTGTATATCATTAGAAAATGCTTCACCTTGAACTATAAGGACTAGGGTAGTTCAAAGGGTGTTAATTGACCTATTTGACGGTTATGTTTTAATAATTTTAAATTTTGAATGAATCTTAGACAATAAGAGGTTACATTAATTAGTTTATTGTAATCGGAATTTTTTTTTAAATAATGAAAAAGTCGAAGTTGTAGAGTTAAGAACGATTTAGAATTTAATTCTAGAGTTTCAGAATCAATTTTTTTTACGTTTAAAATTGGAGATATGAGTATTGTTTGGCCAAAACTCTTTAGACTGGGATAAAAAAAATGGACCATGCCACCACAAGAAGCAGTTTGTAAGTTCTAAGGACTCATGCCCCGGGATATAATATCCGCTGGGTTTTCAGTGGAGGATATGTGATACCAAGCATTTACTTCAGTTGTTTGTGGATTTCTGATATTCTATTACAAACATATGTTTTTAATTGTTGTTTTAATGAAAGCCAACAGAGAATAAGGGTTGAATCAGTATAATAACACACCTTGTTTAGTTGACAGTTTAAGGCCTTTTTTAACTTATACATAAGTCTGGATAGGACTAGGGCTCCGCATAGCTCAAGACGCGGTAAGCTTGCAGCCTTTTAGCAGTAGTAAGTGGACACCAACGGCATTAATAGAAGAGTCACTAAAACCGTGAAGTTCAAGGACAACAAATGTTTTAATTGTGACTTGGCGGGGAATTTTAAAGCAATCCGTTAAGGATAGGTGGTGAGTAAAGTTTTTCCATATTCGGAAAACATCTGTTTGAACGGGATCATCCCAATCTATTTTGAGCAACCATAATTTCTGTAAAAGAATTTTGACTTGTAAAACCATAGGCCCTAGAAGGCCAAGAGGGTCGAAAATCTGTGAAATAAGTGAAAGTATGGTACGTTTGGTTACAGGCTTTGTGTTAGAATCAATAGTGGAGTTGTATATAAAAATATCTTGTTCTGGATTCCAAAATATGCCTAGAGTTCTGTGGTTGTGAGATTCGTCAAATGTTAAGTGCTTGGATTGAGTAAAAGTCGAATCCTTTATATCAAATATTACAGATTGACTATTGGAAGAAAATTTTCTTAAGTCAAGACCGTATGATTTGAATATTTTGACGAGGTTATGACGTATGACTAAAAGGGATTCCTTATTCGAAGTTCCAGTGATAAGGTCATCAACGTAGAAGTCGTTTTTGATTGTCTGACTTTCAGTAGGATAAGAATCTAGGATGTGGTCTGAGATTTGGTTAAGACAACGCGTGGCTAAAAAAGCACTACTTGACATGCCATAAGTGACGGTGTTTAATTCAAAATGTCTTATGTTGTCTTGAGGGTCGTCACGCCATATAATTTGTTGAAAGCAACGTTGATATGGTTTGATTAAAAACTGGCGGTACATTTTAGCGATATCACCTGTTAATACGAAATTGTGTTATCTTAAGCGCAATACTACAGTAAACAAATCATTTTGGACAGTGGGTCCGATCTTTAAACAGTTGTTAATAGATATACCGGAAGATGAATTAACAGAACCATCGAAAACAACTCTGAGGCGCGTTGTGAGGCTTTCACTTTTTTCCACGCAATGGTGTGGGAGATAATAAGAGATATATGTTGAATTTTGGTTAGTGATATCTAGGGTTATTTCAGACATATGTCCAAGAGTTTTATATTCGGAGATAAAGTCGCAATAAGATTGCTTCATATCAGGATTTTTAGCAAGTTTTCGTTCAAGGCTATAGAACCATTTTTAGGGCTGTTTGAAAGGAGTCTCCAAGTTGAGAAACGTTGGGTTTAAGAGGAAGGCTTAATACAAATCTCCCAGAGGAATTCCGATGTGTAGAGGTTTTAAAATGGTTCTCGCACTCGGTTTCTTCTTGAGAATATTTATATTTGGATGTTTGTTCCGTGGTTTCTTCAGAGTTCCAAAAAAAATGCAAACTATTCTGAAGATCTTCATTAAGATTGTTAGTACATTTTAAGGAAGTTACATATTGACTGTCAGTGGTTAGTAAGGAGATAGGGCCACTCACTACCCACCCTAGTTTGGTGTCCTGTAAAATAGGATTGTTTTTACCCAATTTAATTTGGCTTGTATTAAGTAGGTTGTAGAAAACACCTGCGCCTAGAAGTATGTCTATATTAGCAGGTTTATAAAATTCAGGGTCTGCTAATTGAATATTGGTTGGAATATTTAAATTGGAAATATTTATAGAGAAGGGAGAAATTTTTTATTACCAAGACTGGTATTTTAGTAGAAAAGTTATTATGGGGTGATTTTATTTTAAGTTGAGTGCGTTTAGTAATATTGGTGCAGTTTTCGCTAATTCCTGAAACAGACATGTTGATAGGCTCAAAAGGTAGGTTTAATTTATCGAAAAAATTCTGAGTAACAAAATTGGATTGGCTTCCATTGTCAAGTATTGCCTTACAAACTATAGGCTGATGGGTTTTGTCAAATATTTAAACAAAAGCAGTAGAGAGTAAGACAAATGAATTTTGAGAGTGGTTATAGGGTGTATTTGCAGTATTTTCTTTTGTCTGAGTTGTATTGGTAGTATCTGATATAGAGGGTTTTGAATGTGCGGTATAATTAGTATGATTATTAGTAGTCTCTGTGGATTTAAAGGTTTTGTATGAGTTGTTTGCATATGTAGAAGCGAGTGATGTTTACCTTGACAGGTTCTACAGGTATAAGTAGATTTGCAATTGCTTTGGCGGTGTCCTGGACGCAGGCAATTTGTGCATAAATTTGCACGCTTCGACTACGAAAACCTATTACTTACAGGTAAGTCAATAAATTTTTGGCAAGAATAAA